GATATGAGTCACTGCTCCAGGCCCAGAGAGGTCTTGTGAGAAAGGGAGATTTAATCAATGCCACAGATTTCATCATTGTCTTATGTTAGGGGAATACACTTAACAACCACAGCCTGAGCAGTCAGCAGTCAGCAGCATCAAGGCCGGACACTGCACCAGTAAGAAGATTGACTCTGAAGGTTCAGATGACTAGAGCACTTTTAAGCAATAAAGTATTTTTTAAACTAAAGTATGTACTTTTTTTGGACATATGTTAATGGACACTTAAAAGACTAAAGTAGAGTACACGTTTATAGTGTAAACGTGACATTCACATGCACTGGAAACCAAAAAATTCATGCAAATCACTTCACTTTGATAGTCAATTTATCTCAGTGTTCTGGAAGTGAACCTGCATATGTCCAAGGTTTGTCTTTGTATAACTGAATATCATTCAGCCTTTAAAAAGGAGGGGATCTTACCATTTGTCACAATTTGGATAAACCTGGAGGACATTATGATAAGTGAAATAAGCCAGACACAAAGAAGAAATATATCACATGATCTCACTTACAAGGGGGATCTTAAAAAATTAAATCATACACAGATAGAGAATAAAATAATCATCACCAGGGGTGGGGTTGGAGGTAGAAAATGGGGAGATGTAGGTCACAGGATAGAAAGTAGCAGGTATGGAGAAGGAACAAGCAGGACACGGGTAACTATGTAAGAGGACAGATATGTCAATTCTGTTCACTGTAGTAACAGAATTATGTCACAACCTCACGACTATACGTTAAATGCACATAACAAAATTTATCAAAAAAAAATTCTTGGTCTGGTAAATTCCCACATTCCTGCCAAATCTGACTCTGGTTCTGATGCTGCTTCAAACTATGATTTTTGCCTCTTAGTAAGCTTTGTAATTGTTTGTTGAGAGGTGGACATGCTGTACCAGATACAAAGAAATGCAGAAAATAGTCCTTTAGTGGTACCGCAGTGAGGTGTGGGGAGGAATGTTCTGTGGCCCAGCGTTACATCCCAGGCTTTCAGGAGCTGGTGCCCCTGGACAGTGAGCCTGAACTTCTCAGTTGTCCTCCCAGTCCCCCTTAGATGGAAAACGATGTCCAGGGAGGCCTGGAGCTGGATATTACCCTCACCTAGGTAATTAGTGTGTAATGAAATCCCAGTAGGCAGAGTCTGGTGAAACGGTTTCCCACAAGAGCAGGCCTTGCCAAGGAGAAAAGAACGCTTGGCATATTTCAAAGTGGGTGCTTTCTGCCACCCCCTGGCAGAAACACTGAAGCAGGAGGGGATTTTTCTTTAAGATTCTCTGTGAGAACCTGGTCTAGCTCGTTCGCAAACGTGAGGAGCCCCGCCACCTGTGACTGGGTCCCCCTGGAGTTTTCAGCACTCAGACACGTCTACAAGGAGCCTCTGGTAATTTGTCAATTACAGTTCGGGTTCCCTGCTCAAGTGCTTCTCTGGAGGTTTCCGCTGATGTGCCTCTGCCCCGGGAAGCCGTGACTCCCCCCATTCACCTGTCTGTCTCTCTAATTTGCAGGGGCAGCAGTTTGGCCCGTGACCTCATTTTTCTCACAAATCTAAAGAGTTCTTGATTTTTTTTTTTCGGTTTATTCAGCATTTTATTGGTAGGATGGTGTTGGGGACTTCTAAGCTCCTTACACACTGGACTGGAAGCTGGAAGTCTGCCAAGTCTTTTTATTTTTGCATTTTCCAGGGTTTCTTATATGAGTTTTGTATGTAGCAAGATCTTTAAGACTTTTACTAAAATTTGCCGAACATTCTTGGCAATAGCTTATATTTATAAGCATTTTCTTACTAGTAGGTACTGCTGAAAGTGTTTTACGTACGTAATTGCATTTAAACCTTGGAAGATCTCACACGTAGCACTATTTTTATTCCCATTTGGTAGGCAAGGAAGCTGAAGCACAGAAAGTTGATGTCTTACCTTCAAGGAACACAGCCAGTGCCTGGCAGAACCAGAACTCAAACTCAAAATGCCTGACATTGATAGCGTGTTCGTAACCACTGTACTCTACTACCCAGCTGACTACTACGAGAACTTACAGTATTTTGAAACCATTTTATCATAAAGAAATTCATATCTTACAGCAGGTCATTTCTCATTATAGCTATTTTGGAAACTGCCAATAGGATATTTCAATTTACCACCCAAACATCTGAAATTACTAAAAAAAAAAAAGACTTTGAGCATGCATCTCCTGTCTCTCACTGTAAGAAAGTTTGCACAGAAACTACACGAAAACATGATCCCCTGAAGTCTTCCCTCAGCCCATCAGAGTTACTCCACATGGGCTAAAGTGAATCTACCACCAGAAAAAGACTTCTACATTCTTACAAATAGAAACAGACGTGCTATTTTCTATGACAAATTAGTACCGAGACTTCCATAAACCTAACTTTAAGGATACTAAAATTTTAAGCCAACCTAGGTTGTTCTGATTACATTACATATACAGTGAGGTTTACATCCTTAACGGACAAGCCAAAGATAACCACGGCCCCAGGGCTTATGCCAGCTGTGCCAGTAATATGGAGCCTGTTTTCAAGTAAGCCACTTTGGGGTCTGCATTCAAATTGATTGCATATTTTGTACTCTTTCTTTACGGAAAAATGGTTTATCTGCACCATTAAACTCTTTTCTTTTTATGGTAACTGATTTGGAGCTGAACACTTTAGAAAATACCACATTCTAATTTCACTGGAGTTCATATTGGTAGGTTTTAGATATAAGAGCAACAGGTATAGATATGTTTAAATATCAAAATGCAGAATCATTTCTAATCAATATATTATCCTTTATTAATCAAGTGAATAGTCTATGGCTATTAGCCAACATCAGAAGAGCTTGTATTATCAAGTAAACCATATGTCTCACCCTATCCATAAGGAATCATATACTAGTTAACTTTATAGAGTGAGAAAATGTATCTCCTGAGGGTATAAATACTCAGGCATCCTCAAACTATGGCCCGCCCGTGGACCACATGCAGCCTGCCTAGGACATTTATCCGGCCCACTGGGTGTTTTTGCTGCCGCTGCCTGTCCTGCTTAGCAGCCGACTTGTCCTGGGGCCCGCAGTCCGGCCCTCCAATGGTTTGAGGGACAGTGAACTGGCCCCCTGTCTAAAAAGTTTGAGGACCCCTGGTATGAACTGCTTTATCTGCTCTCCACTAAACACAAACAAACAAATAAAAAAAATACTTTCAGCCCAGAAGTTGGAGGTTGCTGTGAGCTGTGATGCCATGGCATTCTACCCAGGGGGACAGCTTGAAGCTCCGTCTCAAAAAAAAAAAAAAAATACTTTCTATTCCTTAATGTTATATTACGGAAGATTGTCTTTTAGACATAAGTGCCAATATTTTTTTGCGGATAACAAATACCTTAATGGATTATGGACAAGTCTATGGATACATTTTTGATACAGCTCTAGTTTTTCATTACTATGTTTTTTTCACTTGTTATTGATAACTGTGTCGTATGGGTGTCAGCCGGGCGCCCATAATGGCAGTGCAAAGTATTAAGTACAATCATATAGGTAGTGATAACACTCTGTGACAGTTCAGAGAACAGGGTAAACAAAAGTGCTTTCTGGAGTTGCTCCAAGAAGGCCACTGCATGTCTCCAAAGGAACAAAACCTACAGGTGGGTGAAAGGCTGGCACAATCCAATTGGGCCCTTTTATTTCCTAGAATGTAAGTATTTTGTCAAGTTTCAGAGGGTTAAAGTGGGTTTGCAGAGTTGGCATGCCATTTTCCACAAGTGTTACAGGTCAAACTCTGCATACTAAGAGAAGGACCAGAAAATAGGCCTTCCAAGACTGGCATATTCCAAAACACATTCTTGTAAGGGTGCATTGGTCAGGGACTCCCTGGACAGTGGTGCAGGTTGTGGACTGAACAATCCTAAGGGTCATGATTCTTAACATAGATGTGGAAATGTATATTTCTCATTCCAGCAAATAGAAGTAAAGAGTCTGATTTTGACTAACGCAATATTTTAGGACAATTTCTGATAGATGAAAATAAAGTATATTGAGGACAGGGTGACTTTTTTCTAATTGATACAAAGGTCCTGGTGGGTTATTAGCTGCCCTGTTTTTATTCAACCCAGAGTTACCCTTGTCTATGTCAGAACATACAGAGAGGAAGTGGATCACCACAGGTTGTGGTCTCCCCCATCATTTGTACACATATCCTTAGGTTGCACTGAAGACCACTCTGGGACAAATAACAACAGCCCTGGAAGATCAGAGGAGGACTTGAGAGAGTGGTGTCAGGAAAGAAAGAACACACAAGATAGCTTCTCATGTCACTTGCTCTTGGTGTCTGCCCTCACCTCGAGAGTTCTAGAGTCCCTGGTTCCTTTCACTGCACCTTCAGGCTCCTTTCTGTGCCTTCACTTTCCACTGGTGCCTCCAGCAGCAAATTGGGTAGAATCAGCCAGACAACACAGTAGGTGACTTGACACGTCTCAAAACAGGGACCCTTTCTCACTCATGGTTTCGACCTGATGGCCTATCTCAGTGTTTGCTACAGAGACTGAAAAACTGTGGCTGAGCAAAAGGAATGACTCTAGTTATTAGCTGAAATGCATTTTTGGAATAAGCATTAGATTCATTGATACCTGACACAATTGAGATTCATATATAAAGAGAAATCTGGCCGTGCACAAGGCTGGTTATCTGTTTAGCCCTGCTATGCTTCTTTTCTCAAAAAAGGATGAGAAGTGGCATGTGCCGAATGGAATTTCATTTTAAGGAACAATCAGGGAAAGGGATTTAACTAAAAGGAAAAAAAAAACCCTTTAATTCAAAGGAATCAAACAAAGAAGGAGCTGTTATTTATGTTTGTGAAATATATATATAAGTAAAAAAAAAAAAGACAGGAGTCAAATTACAAATAAAAGAAAGTCACCTCTCTCTGGGTAATCTAAAAAGTTCCTAAAATAGGTACCAACTGAAATAACTCTCTTACCCTGTAATTGTTCATGATTTCAGCCAACCACGGCTTAACAGACTGCACGGTATCGTCTCGCAAATACTTTTCAACTATAGCTCCGTCGTTAAAAGTCCGGTTTCCCACGTGGATGGCCTGTCTCACTTCTGGAAGCGACAAAAATTTTGCGTAGTAACCTTGGTCCTCAGGTTCCTGGCAGGAGGGTGTATGAGAAAGACAGGGAACATGATTGGGTGGCAGGAACCGCATGCTGGGGAAAGCTGTGAACTCCCCGTCACAAATAATGCAACGGACAAAATGTAGCATGACCGTGAACTTGTCCCCTTTCTTGAAATTCTAACTCAATGGTTTTGGGATAATACAAGTGGGATCCTTTCACGAAGGGCAGATCTAGATAGGACATTTTTGGAGCAAATACCCAATGTGTAAATACAGGATTTTCTTTTTCAGAAACGAATCTTTTGCCATCTTTGACTCCAATGAGCAACTCCGCTAGAGAAAGCAAAAGAGATGAAATGATCCAAATCACTTTGCTACTTGTCGTGGCTCTTTGGAAAGGTCAGAAGGATCTCAAGGAGCCAGGGTGGTGGCATGGCATTCAAAGCTAAAAATTTCTTTTCTATGTGGTGCTGTTTATTAAGACCACACACCAAAAAAGTCAGTTGACTTAATTTAAGCTGGAAACTATGTGAAACGGAAGAAACAGACGATACTTTATGGACACAAGAGAAAAGAGAAGTTGCCCGTGATCCTTACTTAAAAAAATAAAACAAAACACTGCATTAACATCTCTGGACTAATGATCAATTATCGTACTAAAATAAACAAGAAGTAAAGGCCTAGAAAAGCATTCCTCATAACAAAAGGATAAAACAAATGGTTAGCATTTGAGTTTGACACTTTTGTGCTTTACCAATGGTTTTTGTGAACTGTGACTACAGTGCTTTGCAAAGAAAAAAAAATGTAATCACAGATTTTGTTTCTCTCTTGTGTACCATGTGTTTTCCTCTTGGTACAATCTAAATCAGAAACCACGGGGTTGGCAAATTCCATGGAAATTAACTTTATGTTTTACTTACAAACCAGCACAGAATGCATTGTCTTACGCTCCAATAAAGAGCCAATAAATCCCAACCCCCACTTTGGCTCCCTTTCTTTGATTTGATTAGTTCTCCACAGATGACATCAACTTTGTCCTCGTTTTATGAAAGAAACGACTTGAATACTTTGAAAAATATTCCAGAAGGCTTGAAGTGAGTCCATATTAAACGCACTGAAGTTTAGTGCATCTTAAGTTAAAAGTAAGACAAAGCAAATATTTTCACAAAGGCTTTGGCAGTTCTGATTATCCAAGCCGCCTTAAGTACAGAACAAAGAATATGGGCCTTTTCAAGAGATTCATAAACAGGCTTGAAGCTCTTGGACTTGAACTCCAATCCCAGCCTGTATCCTTCACAGAAGAATCTCTGTATAACTAGCTCTTCTTGGGGGGAAGTTACAGTAATCAGAACTGATACTACATATCTGTAATGTCACACCTCCTCAGTGGTCAGATTATAATGTATACAACACTGGTGAAGAAACCATCCTGTCATTGATAGACCAAATAATGCAATACCAGTTTGGACATATTGGTCTAGTATGAGGTCAGCTGTAATATTTGCCAAAACAAAGGAAGCTTGATTTTGTTAAAAGTTTTAAACAAACATCATTATGGTTTAAAGTGTTGTCATTACCATGCACTGCAAGAGGTTATAGTAGTTAATACATCCTGTAACATTCTGGAAGTAAGAAGGATCACTTGTTAAGTCACCATCCAATAGTTTATCCAGGATCTAGGTTGGGAAAGAGAAAAAGAAAAGGAAAACATCAGGGGGGGGGTAAAGGGGCTGAGAGGCCTTGGTCGTTGCATTTATTTGCTAGCATTTCATGCATTCACTGTCTTATTCAGCTGCCACTTAGCGCACATCACCTCTATGCTAGACACTGTCCTGGAACAAGAGCTCAGACTTCCTCATGGAGCTCATACCTACAGGGGGACAAGAAACCAGGATGTTGAGGTAAAATATGTCAAATGTTACTGAGCAAGGAACTCAACAGTATGTTAGGGAATGATAAGAAGAAAAGTAAAGAAGAAAAGTGAGGCAGGAGATGTTGCAGCACATGTGTGTATGGCACACTGCAGAGACGCCACACAGGGTGTCACTTAGAAGGGGGCATTTAAGGAAAGCTGTGTTGGAAGGGTGGAAATGCACCATGCCAGGGAGAAACCATGCCAGGCAGCTGAGGTAGAAAGAGCAAATGAATAAGCTGTGGTGTGTGTGCACCATGGAATACTATCCAGCCATTAAAGATGGAGACTTTACATCTTTTGTAACCTGGATGGAGTTGAAGAATATTCTCCCTAGTAAAGTATCTCAAGAATGGAAAAGCAGGTGAGCTCGGGCATGTTCAGGGTGGTACGGCCATAGACTCAGGAATGGATTAACCAGCTGTGGTATATGTATACCATGGAATACTATTCAGTCATTAAAAAGATAGAGACTTTATATCCTTTGTATTAACCTGGATGGAAGTGGAACACATTATTCTTAGTAAAGCATCTCAAGAATGGAGAATCATGAATCCTATGTACTCAAGTTTGATATGAGGACAATTAATGACCTAGTACACGGTGGGGGTAGGGGAAGGGGAGAGCAGAGAAAGGAGGGAGGAGGGTGCCGGGAAAGAAGAGCAGAGAGAGGGAAGGAGGGAGGGGGTGTGAGAAGGGAAGAGCAGAGAGTGGGAAGGTGGAGTGGGTGGGGTCTCAGTGTGTGACACACCTTTTGGGGGCAGGACACAATTATAAGAGGGACTTCACCTAACAAATGCAATCAGTGTAACCTGGTTTCTATACCCTCAATGACTCCCCAACAATAAAAAAGAAAAAAAGAATGGAAAAGCAAGCATGCTACCTATGCAATACTAATTTGAAACTAGTAGATGAACAACTATAGGCCCATATGAAAGAAAATCACAATTAAATTCAAGAAGAGGGGAGGAGAGAGGAGGGAGTGGAGGAAAGGAAAAATGGGGTTCAGTAAGCTCCAACCTGATGGGGACAATGTATGGGTATGAGGTTCACCTTGTGGGTGAAGGACTCAGCTACAACATGGACTTTACCCTACAAACCCAAACACTATAACCTAAGTGTTTATCCCCTTATATTAATATGAAAAAGAAAGAGCAGAGGCCTGGTCTGTGGGAGCGAGTCACGTGGGAAGGATGCCTCACCATGGATCATGGAGTACAAGGACAGAGGGCAGAGGATGTGGGCACAGATGCAGGCGTTTGGAACTGGGAGAAGTTATCTTTGGGTTGCTTAGAGAAAAAAAAACCCAGTTATGGGCTGAGGGCAAGAACAGTCAGGATTGTTGTGTACACCCTTCCGGCCACGTTCAGCTGCACAAAGGTAGCCCCGGCATGGCAGAGAGGGGAACTGAGCCAGGGCTGTGTTTCGGCCAAAGGAGTGAGGGGAAGTAGTGGGAAGTGGGCTTAATGGTTGGGAATATATGGAATGACTGATGTGGGCTGAAACTGGGTAACAAGAAATACAGACTTGAGAGGGTTTGAGATCCCGGGGAGATAGGAAGATCAGCAGATTGAGAGGCGGTGGGGTTGGTACATTAGCAAAAGGAATCGAGGGAACAGAAAGGACTGGGAGGTGGTGATTAGAGAAGGAGGTTTGAATGTGAGGTTGTGAATTCGTTCCTGGCTTTTGGGGGTAATGAGAATGAGCAGCTAAAAGGAGGAGAGTGCAATCATTGAAAAAAGGAGGCTAAGGGACTGAAGAACAAAATTCTAAAAGGATCATCAATGTGGATGCTGCCATCACTGGGAATATGACAGGAGTAATTCTGGAGAGAGCGACAGAGGGGAGCTCTACGAGTCAGGGAGTGAGTGGGAGGAGCTGGGTTGGTAGACAGCACAATGAGCAGAGTTGGGTGGTCCTGTCCGAGGACACGAGACTCAAGACTGAACATCTTAGGTGGGGGCAGGGAGAATGATGTGGAAGCTGCAAAGAAGAAGCTAAGAGAGAGAATAGCCCCCCTGTGAAAGGGCTATAAGGGGAGCCCTCAGCAGGGGAGAGCCAGGTTTGGGGATAAAGAAGAAGGTGAAGAGAAGGGAATATACAATTCGGAATGCTCACATCAAACTGGTTGACATAACCTCGCCTCACTTACTTATCTTTTGTGTGAAGACATTTATACTCTACAGTTATAATTTAATGAAACAAAAAAAGAAGAGAAGGGAATAGTCGCAGAAGAGATTGAAGATAGTTTATGGATGAGGAAGGAAGTTGTGAGGGATTCTTGTGAAAGAAGAAATGAATTCAGCCCATTTTAAACGTGATCCATCAAGTATAAATTTAGGTTTCTTATGAGATCTATTATGTAGTATGTGCGTATTGTCTTAATTTTATGGGTGAGGACAATGAGACTCATAGAGGTTAAGTAACTTGCCAAGGAGAGCTCACTGATGATGTCAGAGGGGAGGGCATGGGCCTGCACTCGCAGCCACCACAACCACACACAGCCACATGGAGCCACACACAGCCACATGCTGCCACACAGAGCCACTGCAGCCACACACAGCCACACACAGCCACTGCAGCCACACACAGCCACACACAGCCACCGCAGCCACACGCAGCCACCGCAGGCAATTCAGCCACACGGAGCCACCCTCATGCTGCTCCAGCCACACACAGCCACACACAGCCACCGCAGCC